CTATTGCAGGGGAAAATACATTGGAAGACAGTATGGTAAAATGAAGACGAAAATCATAAATACTCAGCCTGAGTCCTTACTTGGCTAGTGTATAGTCTTGGGTGATTTTTTCTTTCCATGTAGGCCAGTTCCATCAACCATAAACCATGAGAAAGACTAGATCAGCAGTTCCAGAGCTCTGCTGTGTAGTGTCTAAGGTTCAGTTAATATACCAATGAACTAATTTATTATGGAAGAAAAGTCTTCTTGGGTTTCTTACTTTAACCACAGTAACTGTAACTTAATCCATTACACACATATACACTGTGTGTGTGCATGTATACATTAACTTCACTGGAAAAAGAATTTCTCTTATTTTCTTTTTTGAGTTGGACTCATCCTATTGCCCAGGCTGGAGTGCAGTGGCACAGAATCATGGCTCATCCTTGCCTTCACCTCCTGGGGTCAGGAGATCCTTCCATCTCAGCCCCGCAAGATGCTGGGACTACAGGCATGTGCCACCACACCCAGTTAATTGTTTAATATTTTGCAGTGATGAGAGCTTGCTATGTTGCCCAGGCTAGTCTTGAACTCCCAGGTTCAAGCAATCCTCCCACCTCGGTCTCCCAAAGTGCTGAGATTACAGCATAAACCACCATGCTCAGCCAGAATACTTATTTTTAAATGTCTGAAAACAACTAGTATATAGATGATCTCTGAGGTCCTCTCCGTATTTCTAAAGATGCTGTCCCTGAAGATGGACAGAAGGACTATTTCCTATGTAGGAAAAAACAAAATTATGTAACAAGTTAGGTAGGTCAGTAAAACAGAAAGGTCGTAGGAAAGAGTTCCTTCCATAATGTTTAGCCCACAGGCACATAATGGCTTGTAACAGAGACTGAAATTGTTGACTCTTGTTAGAGTACAAACTTTGACCACCTCTCTGAATGAAGAATATTTCATAGGAACGTATCTTCATTTGGGGGAGTGAAGAGACTAATAAGAGATAACAGAAACTTTTTTTTTTTTTTTTTTGAGTCAGAACCTTACTCTGTTGCCCAGTCTGGAGCATAGTAGCATGCTTACAGCTTCTACCTGCTAGGCTCAGGTGATCCTTCCATCTCAGTCTTTCACATAGCTGGAATTACAGGCATGTACCACCACACCCAGCTTTGTTTTTTTTTTCCATTTTATTGTAGAAATGAGGTCTTCACCATGTTGCAGCTCAGGCTGGTCTCGAACCCCTGAGCTCAGGCAATCCTCTTGCCTCCACCTCCCAAAGGGCTGGGATTACAGGCATGAGCCACAGTTCCTGGCCAGATAACAGAAACTTTAACAGACAATATAAACATACTGATTTTGATAAGAAAAAAGGTTACTTACTGATGGATAATTTAAAATTTAGTCGTGGCTTAAGGAAGGAGCAATAGATTCCTTTTTCTGCCCTGAACTTATTTATATGACAAGAGGAAGGAAAGTTAAATATTATGGTACTTTAAATATCAAGTATGGATTCTATAGTTGAAAAACTGAAAATTTCATCTCTATGGAAGTCAGTGGAAAAGTCTCAGAGAATCCTAAAAAGAATTACAGTTAATGAAATTATAATAATGTTAACAATAACAATAATAGTAATGATAAATCAAACATAATCATTTTGAGTTGGAGTCTCACTCTTGCACTCAGGGTGCAGTACAATGGCATGATCACAGCTCACTATAACCTTGACCTTCTGGGCTCAGGCGATCCTTCTGCCTCAGACTTCCGAGTACGTAGGAATACAAGTGCACACCGCCACACCCAGCTAATTTATTTTATGTTTTGTAGAGATGAGGTTTTGGTATATTGCCCAGGCTTGTCCTGAACTCCTAGGCTCAAGCAATCCTCCTGCCTTGGCCTCCCAAAGTGCTGGGGTTACATGCATGAGCCACCCTGCCCATTATTTACTATTACTAGGCAATGTTGTTAAGTGCACATGTACTGACTAATTTAACCATCAGAACAACCATATGAAGTAGGTGCTATTAAGACTCTTTAAAAAATGAAAAACCAAGGCTGAGCGTGGTGACTCACACCTGTATTCCCAGCACTTTGGGAGGCCGGGGCAGAAGGATTGCTTAAGCCCAAAAGTTTGAGATTAGCCTGGGCAATCTCAAACAAAAATTTTAAAAATCATCCATGCATGATGGCATGCACCTGTAGTCCCAGCTACTCAGGAGGCTGAGGCGGAAGGATTGCCTGAGCTTAGAGGTTGAGGCGGCAGTGAGCCATTATTGTGCTACTGTACTATAGCCTAGGTGACAGAATGAGACTATGATCCCCTCAAAAAAATGAGGAAAAACTGAGGCACAGGAAGGTTACACAGACTGCTAAATATCATTTAGGTAGTGAATAGCAGGGCTTATATGAGTACTCTTATCATAGACTATCTAGTTGCAGACTCCATGCTTAGAGCCACTGTGCAATACTTTGTTTAAAAAATTATTTTAACTCTGTCAACAATGGAAAGCTATTTATATGTAGTACTTCCATCTGAAAGGGAAATATTTAAGCCAACAATACACAATTGCTTTGTATAGCTTACTTGAAAATACCAACTTCCTTTTCCAGCAATGTGGTAGACTAGATAATGTAAAAATCTCTGTAACAATCAAGACATATTAGGTAATATGTAGTAAATATTCTTTTAACTGCATAGCTAAGCTGAAAAGAAATTTCCAATGTGCATAAAGGAAGAACAGAAGTTGGGTATAAACTGTGCTAGAGCTGTCATGGAAAGGCTTGTTAAAGAACAAGCAATGGGAAGGGTATGTGGTTAGGGGCCTGATGGGTACAAACATATAGTGAGACGGAAGGACTAAGTTCTAATGTTCCACAGTAGAGTAGGGAGACCATAGTTAACAATAATGTATTATATACTTCAAAACAGCTAGAAGAAAGTATTTGAAATGTCCCCAACACATAGAAATGATAAATACTTAAGGTGATTGATACTCTAATACCCTGACTGAATTATTACACATTCTATGCATGTAACAAAATATCATATGAACCCTATAAAAAATAAAAATACAATGTACCAATAAAAAAAAAGAGACGGGCACTAGAAAAAATAGAAGGGAAAAAAATAATCAAGCAATTTAGGTTTATCACACACAAGTGTGATAAGGACAATAAGGTGAGACACAAAACTAAGTCTTTCCCAGTGAAAGTCTGGACTCTGGATAGCAACATCACTAAACGAAAGGTACTCTGACCAGATACGATGGGAATCAAAAGTGATATCAAGGCCTATTCATTCAGGTTGGAAAAATAACAAGAGTCCCATAAACTTTATATGGGCTTTCCTCTCAGAATAAAACTAAACAACCGAAAAGTACATTACATAGAATGGCAAAGGAAAACAAAACAAATTAAATAAAACTAAAATGTGCCTGTCTGGTCAGAACTCATTACAATGTGGTCTGGAAACCCCAAGTGAAAAATAAAGTGGTCCTAGGATAACAGTGTCTCTGGGTTACTTACAAAAGCAAATAAAAGTCCTCTCCAGAGGAATTCAATTTTCAACTATGACTCAGAGATCAGCAGAGTAGGTATAAAAAATCATGACCAAAATATTGCTGTCACAAAGAAACTAAAAACGTAATAAGGTTGAAAGTTAAGGATGAAAAAGAAAGACCATGAAAACACTGATTCGTGTTTCTTTTTGATTGAAAGAAAAGGAGGCGAAGCATAGTGGTTCATGTTTGTAATCCCAGCACTTTGGGAGGCCAAGGTGAGACGATCACAAGAACCCAGGAGTTCGAGACCAGCCTAGGCAACATAGTTCATCACCACACACACACACAAAAAATTAGCTGGGCATGACGCACAAGTAGTCCCCGAAGGTAGGGAGGCTGAGGCAAAAGGGTCACCTGAGCCCAAGAGGTCAAGGCAGCAGTGAGCCGAGATCAGGCCACTGTACTCCAGCCTGGGTGACAGCGTGAAACCTCAACTCAAAAAAGAGAGAGAAAGAAAGAAAGAGAGAGAGAGAGAGAGAGAGAGAGAAAAGAAGAAAAGTGGTGGTGGGTGCCTATATTAATATCAAACAAAGTAGACTTCAGAGCAAAAGAGTTTAACAGGAACAAAGAAGGATTATAAAATTACAAAAGGGCCAATCAACCAATAAGACACAGCAATCCTAAATGTTTGTGCATTTATTTATTTATTTATTTATAATAAACAATATTTATTTACTTATTTATTTTTTGAGTTGGAGTCTCAGTCTGTCATCCAGACTGGAGTGCAGTGGCCGCTCCCGGCCACCGCAGCCTCGACCTGCTGGGCTCCGGCATCCTTCAGCCTCAGCCTTCCGAGCAGCCGGAATTACAGGCATGTGCTACCACGCCTGGCTAATTTTTTGATTTATTGTAGAGATGAGGTCTCGCCTGCCCAGGCGGGTCTCGAATCCGTGGGCTCAGGCAATCCACTCACCTCAGCCTCCCAAAGGCGCGGATTACAGGCTGAGCCACCGAGCCCGGTCCAAAACAATATTTTAAATGAATAATGTTGGAGAACTCACATTTCTGGATTTTAAAACTTTCTACAAAACTATAAAAATCAAGACAATGTCATGCTCACATACGGACAGACACTGGAATAGAAAAGAATAAACATGAGAATCCAGAAATAAACTATTCTGTTTACTGCTGACTGGTTTGTAACAATGGTGCCAAGACCATTCAAACAGGAATGAATTATCTTTTCAACTAATGGTGCTAGGACAACTGGATATTTATATACAAAAGAATGAAACTGAACACCTACCTCATATCACATAAAAATTTAATTCCAAATGAACCATGGACCTAAAATTAACAGCCAAAGCTATAAAAGTCTTACAGGAAAATATAGGAGTAAGTCTTTGTGACCATGGACCAGACAATGTTTTCTAGATCTGACACCAAAAGTACATGACAAAAGAAAAAAAGAGATAAGCTGCAATCTATCAAACATTAAAAATTTTGTGTTTCAAAAGATACCATCAAGAAAGAAAAATGGGAGGACTTCCAGTAAGATGGCAACGGGGCAACCCGGTCTGTGAAAACCTCTGCAAAGGAGAACTGCAGTGGGTCTTTGACTCTCGCCCCGGGGGCTACAGACCCCAACATCGCAGCCTGCTCTTCATACGGAGTTCTGCCGTTGCCACAGCTGGGGCATCGCAGCGCTCTGCACCCCACTGCAACGCAGCCACCCGCTGCAGCCGCTGCCACCGCTGCCGGTAGCACATCACACCACCCGGGCCGGAGGCGATCCACAACTTCAGTCCTTGAAGCCCCTTCAGGGAAGATCTGCTGGGATCGCTGCCACCTCTCCTGCCACCGAGATGTCCTGCCCGCCGTAAGTCTCCTGCCGTCTGCCCTGAGGCAGGCAGCCATCTTGCCATCTTCAGCCTCTGCTGTCCCTGTCTGGCCCCACCCCCTCTGGGGCCAGCAGCTGAGATAGCACCACCTGCTGGCGATTCAAGGTAACAACACCAAAACGGGAGAAATAAGCTTGAAAAAGACATAGGCCAGAGTGGTGAACAGAGGGTGATCTGACCTGCCCTTCACAGCAGACCAGGGCCAACTGACCCCAACTGCAAACTAATTTACCAAAAGAAAGCTAGAAATCAGAGCTGAAAGGACACTGGACTTAAACGAAATGTCTCAGAGTGTGCTTCATTGATTATGTTAGTTTAACGACTTAATTCTATTCCTACTGTATTGTTCCTTTTTTTCTTTTTTCCTCTTCCTTTTCTTCTCTCTGTAAACCATATCTTTGTATGGAGGAACAGCACACTAATAAGGTGGTTGGATAGTTGGTATGTTAGCATCACTATATGTTTTATTTTTTTTTGTATGAGAGTTGGTTCGTCTGTAGCTGTGGTCTATTGTTTTTATCTGTTTGAGTATAGGCCTCTCTCTCTCTATTTGTTGGCACACTCGTTTGTTTCCCCCATTACTCCTTTATCTCTCCACCCCCCTCTTCAACCCACTGTCTGCTCCATTCTCTCCCCTCTGCTAACCACATT